CTTCGCGCTAATTGGATCATACTTTTAGATCTAGAAGAATGGTCCTATCTCAGCAGACAATCATGAAACGGTTGCAAAACTGTTGAGTCTGCTGAACGCAGCCTATGTGATGCCCGTGTCACACTACGTATTGGAGTATCCTTAATTCGCAATCCTCAATCTCCAATGCGTAGTGTAACTTAAGCCCATGGCACATACAAAAACGTTAGGACCCTATAGCGGGGAGCACAGATTCTTGCATAACACAACACGTAATGCATAAGAAAATAAACCAATCAAAATCCTTTGTTTTCTTCCTTTTGTTACGTCCCGGGGTTCTTTCAGCGGGTAACCGAGGTTCGGATTAACCCGAGACTACTACGGTAGTATGAAGGTAAAATTTGAGGTAGTGGAGTGGCTAATTAACTTGTCCAATTTATTTATTATTAATTAGAATTGCGCGCTCGATACGGTGATGATAGTAGATTCTGGGGAAGTCCAGGGTGTATCATCTGTCCTACTTAAATATGAGAGGAACCTTTCTAATATTTCCGGGCAATCGCGACAATTCGACACGTGATGCACGGTAGTTAACGACACGGAGCATGCGTCACAATTTTCAAACCGTTCAGAAAATCCTAAGTGGATGTAATGTCGTAACACGCCGAGATATTTACTCTTTTCGGAGGCCGAAAGCAAAGTATAACACTCTGGGCACTTAATTCCGCTACTTTCGTTATTCCGATAAAACAGTGATGATGCGCAACAGGCGCTCCGTACCCATGTAACGTAAGGGTCTATTCTCAACTGGCGACGAGAAATAGCCAATTGCGAGTGCGGGTGTACTGGGCACATGCTTCGCGGCTCGTCGTGACCGAAATAGATTAATTAATAATTTCTTACCTTTTTGATGAAGTTCTGGGTGGCGATGACGAGTCGTGAGGGGAGAGTGTGGGCGAATGTGGGCTCGATGAGTGCGGGCGGCTTCCAATTTCCCTAGTGTCTCTGCTCTGTCATTGGTTCTCCCGAGTCCGTGGTGATTGGATTGCGGTTTATTAACACGCGACCGAGTTTCATTAGTCAAAGTGTTCGCATAATTTAACGCGACGGATTATGGAGAACAGGTTTTATTCAGAGATTTTACTCGGATTTAACAAACCATATGAATTTATTATTAGCTTCATACACAATTAAAGGTTACACATTTTAGCTTAATATTAAGGATGATTTACATTAACGCGGGAATTGAATTACGCTTAAAAATTAGGATTAGAATTATTCTAGAACTTGAGTGAAGAATTTGAAAAGTGCACGCGACACGTGAGAGCTTAAGGTCAAAAGGCTTACATGTCCTCGGAGGTACTCTAGACCCGGACTCGCGACTCTAAGACTGTACTTAACGACTGCTACTTAACGACTGCTTTTATTCTAGTGCCCTGAGGGCAAATCTTAAGAGCGTCCCCTTCCATCGTTGCTCCGCTGAGGCACGCGTGGTGGGGCAAGGCGTCAGGTACGGTCCTGGCCGTCTCATGTACTACGCCAATTTACAGGAAGCGAAAATTCTGGACAAAAATTTAACAATGCCGCAGACGTGACACTTTCCTTGAAATAAAGAACTATGATTGGTTGAATTTCTTATGCCTTATGTGTTATGCGTTATGCAAGAGTCTGTGCTCCCCGCTATAGGCATGAGAGCGGTCATGCCCGGAATTTAGCTGCAACTTTATTTTGAAGCGCCTCTATATCTAAAATGTGAACATTGAACTGCGTAGTCAATGTTCACGATCCCGTCGGTAGGTAATGTCCACGATTTTTTTATTGTATTCTTTGCCAATTCTAGAATTGGAAAGAGACAATGAATAAGTTGAACCTCGGTTAAGAATTAACTGTGAGTTGTAGAACTGGACCTTAATACGCTAATGCGGTTCTCTTGGTTGGTTTGTGACACCTCAAGACTGAACTTAAGACGATCTTGGATATAAGAACTGACTATGAATATCAGTCTCTGATTGGCTCATGACATCTTAAGACTGTACTTAAAGGCCCGTCTACAATGCACGTAGTAAGCTTGGTTTAAGAAATAAAAGTAATGGCTCCTGCACACTGGACGCGGAAGAGCTTCCAATGCAAAATGCGACGCGGTAATCAATGAACATGTTAGGAGCTGTAAGCTTATTGGCTACCGCATCACATTTTGCCGCGCGGCAAGCGTTTCCGCGTCCAGTGTGCAGGAGCCATTACTCTTACTTCTTAGGGCACGTTCACACCTTGACGGAAAAGCAGAAAGCGGAAAAGCAGTCGCCAATCACAACTCGCGCTGGTAGTAATACAAAAAGCCGAAATTGTCGAATACCAGCGTGAGTTCTGATTGGCTGCTGCTTTTCCGCTTTCTACTTTTCCGTCAAGGTGAACGCGCCCTTAAACCAAGCTTACTTCTTATATTGTAGACGACGCATTAGACAGTTTTAAATATAAGATTCGACTATGAATACCAGCCTTAGATCCAGCGAAGAACTAAAGGCAAGAACCAATTATATTAAAGAATCACTAACCGCTAACTGATTAGTTTTCTCTGCTGAACGTAGGCTAGCTGCTTTGTCGACTTGAACGCACCCAATGACACTTTAGATAAGCGTTCTAATTCGAAACAAATTTGCGAAAATACGAATAGCTATATGTGGCTCGTTACAATTACTTTCACGAAATCATTTTCAAATTCTACAAATATACATTTGCAATTGTTTAAATTATTATTTAAACGTGATACTTATGCATCATCATTGGCTACGTTCCACTTAACGCTCACAACGCTCGTGGAATTATTTCCTTGTCGTTTATCAAATGTTAAACGAGGACAAACGATGCTCGCGAGTGTTGCGAGCGTTAAGTGGAACGCAGCTCTTGAGGTTTGTTCGCGTTGCATGCTCCAACATGTTCCAACATGCTCTTACCATAGCTCTCAAGGTATCTTTTTATGCTGACGCTCGACGGTCATTTTCGGCGTCAAAATAAATCACGTGATAGAAATTGACAACTATCAAGCACCAATTTTGATCATATGACCTATTTTGATGCTGAAAATGAGCGTCGAATGTCAGCGTGAAAAGGCACCTGTATGGTGCGGTCCCATGATGCGGAATTGGCGCAATGAAGAATTGGCGGAACGCTCGTGATTGGTTTAGAAAAGACATATCGGCGGAGCGCAATTGACGGAATGCTTGCGATTGGACGGACATCGTTCCGCTAATTCCGCATTGCGTATACGTTCCGCACCATGGGACCGCGCCATTACTCAGGGTGCTATTACATGAGCGCGGAAACGCGGAAATGCGGAAACGCGTAACCAATCAGAAGCAATCCGCTGTTATGGTTTCGCGTTTCACCGATTACTGATTGGTTGCGCGTTTCCGTATTTCCGTGTTTCCGCACTCATGTAATAACCCTTACTCCAACGCGCTTGATAGGGTGCATTCAGTACTACAACCGCTCACTGAGCACTTGCATCTTATTGGTATATTCCGTTAGAACTAAAAATATAGACCAAACAGATACAAGAGCTCATTGAGCGCTCAATGAACACATGTATCTGTTTGGTCTATATTTTTAGTTCTAACGGAATATGCCAATAAGATATAAGAGCTCACTGAGCGCTCAGTGAGCAGTCGTAGTACTGAATGCATCCATTTGCTGGATTCGCACTGCATCCGATTTTCGTCGTACGACACTCTGCAACCAATCAGAAAACAGGATTCCGATGAAGTTTGCTTTGTATTATTGGAATCCTGTTTTCTGATTGGTTGCAAAGCGTCGTATGACGAAAATCGGATACAATAGTCGGTATTCATAGTTGGTTCTTATTTCAAGACCGTCTTAAGTAATGTCTTAAGATGCCAATGCGGCCCTCTAATTGGTTCATGACACCTCAAGGCAGAACTTAAGACGGTCTTAAATATAAGATCTGACTATGAATACTGACTAATGTGAATCCAGCATGTGAATCCAGCAATAGAGTGAGTAGGAGCATTTTGGAGCATGTTGGAACATGTTGGAGCTTGCGACACGAACAAACCTTTGGATTCCATTAACCTCGGATCACACGGAATAAGCTCAATAAGCAACGCACACTAAACACACAGACTTGATATTATAGCGGAAAAATATTCGTGTGCATGTTGCTCTATAATTCTGGCGCAAATTTCTTATCGTACTCGCGTCCATCGTCATGTATATTAGATTTCGACAATAAACAGTTATTTTTCAATGCTCGCGCAGTATCACCGGAAGTGTACTTTGGTTCGTTTGCCGCCAAACTACCCTGTGCTGTGTGCTGCGATGAAGTTGTTTACTTGTCGGCTTTCGGACGTATATACAACGACTGTAGCGTAGATAATCACAAACGTGCTCGAGTTACACGTTTTATTACGTTGTACGTACCACGGAATTGTCTCTGCGTCCTCATTGAGACTGGTTCGTCGCTTAAACTTCTCAAATTTGTGGAGTATATTATGGCCAAGGTTCAACTGGCAAACGTCGCTGTCTTAGACAATCCTTCGCCGTTTCTGAATCCGTTCCAGTTTGAAGTTACATTCGAGTGCATCGAAGAACTAAAGGAAGGTACGAATTTTGATTTTGCGAATATGATTCGCTCGGTGACGCTGTTATTTTACATTCTATTATAGTCTGGCATCATTGAGTGCATGTTAGTCTTTAGGTTAATTTTGCCATGATGATACAACACCAATAATGCAGATCGAACTATTCACGAATGTTTTGTAATGTATGTGATTGTAAAACAAATTTTTTTTACGAAGAAAAGATTCATTCTAATATGATAAAGTTTTTGTCAATTAAGCTTCTTTACAATTTAGTTGTTTTAATTCTTTATATGTATGTCTAACATTCTACATATCAATTTTTTTATAACACACACATACACGTGTATGTATATATATGTATGCACAGAAAAAAGGAAATATATCGGTATATCATACTGATATACTTTTAGATTTGGAATGGAAAATGATATATGTGGGCAGTGCAGAATCTGAAGAGTTTGATCAAGTCCTAGATACTATTTATGTTGGTCCGATTCCTGAAGGAAGACATATGTTTGTATTTCAGGTAAGATACCATGAATTAACAGGTTTAAATATCATATTATATTTCATATTATAATTTATTTAATTTAGTAATATTAATAATTAGTATTTTCTGATTATTGCCTTTTCTTCTTCTATCGTTAGGCTGATCCGCCTGATGTCAGTAGGATTCCAGTCAATGATGCTTTAGGCGTAACCGTTGTGTTGCTGACTTGTTCATATAGAGGTCATGAATTTGTTCGCGTGGGTTACTTTATAAATAATGAATACACAGACCCAGAACTTCGGGAGAATCCACCTCCGCAACCACAATTTGATAAAGTTCAGAGAAACATACTAGGTGATAAACCGCGTGTAACTCGATTTAAAATAAATTGGGACGACTGTCCGACTGGAACAGCAAACAATCTTCCTGAAAGCATGGATGCACCAGCATTAGAAGATACATCGCAAGATGCACCTACGTCTACACTAGGTTTTACAGAGAACACGCAAAATGGTGGAATGGAAGTGATGTGAAAAATGATTTACTGCTGATACTAATTCGGTAAATTAGCATTATATAACAATTTAAATGATAAATGTAGTACCTGGAAAGAAGATGAAGACAAAAAAGTACACACTTGATATATATATATATAAATACATATATTTAGATAACTTCAAAAAAAACTGCGCAAAATAACCTTTCATATAATTATTAATGTTTTCGTTCGATAAGATCCAAAAAGTTTGTACATTTTGAAAAAGAACCATATGTTGATGATGTGATAAACTTACACTTTATGCCTGAATAAAAGTGAATAATTGTTTGGATTAATTGTTTATGAATAGTTATTTCAGTCTCAGTCGAGACAGTTATTTCAATCAAATAGTAATACTTGACTACAACTTACAATCTCTCTAAAATGTTCTACAAAAAAAACCTTACAATTAATAAGCAATTGTGGCACCAATTGTGCATAAAAATTAAATGTAACAAGTAATTATAAATCATCTTATTGTAATGCAGTAATGCAATGAAACAGTAAGTTTAAATACACACTATGTAATTGTTTTACAGTTAACGCCGCTTAAGTAACTATAATTTAAAGCTTTAAGCTAAAAGGTATGTTTGATAACAAGAGAAAAATAAAAGCCATATATCACGAGCGCTTGATGTCGTACAGCGAAACTTCTTTCAAAGTCAATACATAGAATTACATTAAATTAATAAATAGAATAGACGTTTCTCTCTCTCGGCTTTCTGTTGGGCCATCATCAGTATATAAATATAAATTATATATTACGCAGAGTTGTATATTATACAAATAAAAATTGAGTTCTTTCTTTGTAAGCTCGTTAGATTTCTTATTTTACTTTCTTTCGGTCTGTATTTTCAATGTATCTATAATTTCATGTTCCACAATGTTACCGATATGATGTATTCAACCACATAATTTTCATTAGAATCTGGAAATTATGTGGTCGAATATATCATATCGGTAACATTGTGGAAATTATAGATACATTGAAAATACACACCGAAAGAAAGTAAAATAAGAAATCTAACGAGCTTATTGATATAGACATGTAACGAAGAAAGAACTCAATTTTATTTGTATAATATACAATTCTGCGTAATTTATAATTTATATTTATATACTGATGATGGCCAAACAGAAAGCCGAGAGAGAAAAACGTCTATTCTATTTATTAATTTAATGTAATTTTATGTATTGACTTTGAAAGAAGTTTCGCTGTACGACATCAAGCGCTCATGGTATATGCCTTTCATTTTTCTCTTGTTTTTAAATTTTGACCACGTATTGACATTTAAAGGTATGTTTGATGTTTTAAGTATTATGTCATTATTGCTTATTATAACATCAATAAATCGTAAGATATAGTTTCCATTTTTATTAGTGTATATATAGGTACGTACTAAGATAAAAATACATATATTATGTTTTTTACTTGACAAAAAAATGAATTCGCTTTTTCCCAATCTCTTTATGAATTTTTTCTATGTAAAAATTCAACTTAATCCATAATTCTTTAAGTTATGTCATTGCGAACAACAAAAATTTTCATGCTACTGTGCATGTAATTTTTTCCATGTAGTAAAAGTATACTGTTGAGTTGAAATTAGATGACCGGTTTTTCGATTAAAATAAAATCTTTGATTACGTTTATGGCACCCTTAAGCGAGTTTAATAATATCCGTAATTATGAATGTTATTAGACCAAATTAAGAATGCGTGTAAATGTCTGTTTTGTTTAAAAAATTTTAAGGTATTGTTAGTTCAGATACACAAGTTTTAATAATTTTAAAATATATTTAAAAATAACAAATCTTGAAATGTAATTAATTCTGACATAGGAAAGCTGTAATAATGCATTTAGCATTTTTACTAGAAATGCAATTGTGAATTTTTTTTAAATCTTTTTGTAGAATTTCTACATTATTTACAAAAGGATTAGTTCCCCTTTATTTTGTAAAATTTTTAATGATAGGTGAGGCGTCGAAAACAAATTTACTTATATTTTATTATCACATATTTAATAGTTTAAAAATATTTCTCGAGCTTGTGTGTGTGTGTGTGTGTGTGTGTGT